GATTTTGTCATGAGAGTCAAAATTATTTAGAGCATGTGCAGTAATTATATATCGAAACAATTTTAAATAAGATTATCATTTTATTGAAGATAATGTTATTATACAAGAGTTTTTTATTGACTTTGTTGATTATTTTTAGAAATGGTAGGGTTTTTTTTACAATAATAAGGTTAATTGGTTAAATTAATAATAATAATAATAAAAAAAAAACATATGTAAATTAGTGATTCCAAATACTAAGTGGTTATCTTGAAAGAATTTAATTTTATTATAGGAAATAGAAATTATCATTAAAGGATCTACAGTTGTCCTTTTAACGAGTTTGTCGTTTAGTAAAGGTGTTTATTATTGAAATATTTACAGTTATCCTAGTAATGAGTTCTTATTATTTAAAGAAATTAGCAGTTATCCGGGGAAAATTTATTTTTATTATGAAAAATTCTACAGTTTTCCTAGTAAATGAGTATTATTATTTAAAAAGACTACAATTATCCCATTTATGATAAATTTTTATTGAAAGGAAACTACAAGTTTTAAAACCCCAAAAATGAAAAATTTTTGAAAAAGGGTCTACGTTTATCTTTTGAATGGAAATTTTTTAATGAAAAGGATTTTAAAAGTTATCCCAAAATGAAATATTTGGTACTTCTTTTGTTAAAAAACGATAGATGAGTACCTTTGGGGACTAGCTTTTAATACAAAACGGTTTTTTGTTTCATTTTTTGTTTTGCTCGGGAAGATTCGACCCCGTATTTAATCGGGGTTTTTTCCAAAATTTTGGGAAATACAGATTTCTACCCAGCAACCTTTGGGACATCACACATTCAAATTCAATGCCAAAATTATTTTTTGAAAAGAACAATGTTTTAAAAGCGTACAAGCTTTGCCTAAATAAAATGTATTGTTTAATTTTTAACGGAAACATAGTGTAGACATTTTACATCGTTTTGTATAAATGTTAAATGTTTTGCAAGGATGAGGCCCAACATTCGGTGGTATTTGACAGTCACTTTCCTGTGATGGCAAATGGGCACAGGTTTCCAAAAATATTTTCCCTTAAATAACACTGAAATCAATTCAAAAACTTTAAAAGGGTTTTTTTTTTGTTTTTGGTTTTTCCTGGACGAGTCGACCACGATTTGCAAAACATTTATATGACAGAGATAAAATTTATTAACCAATTACAATATTTATTGCTTTATGCTATACATGTATTTGCACGTTTATTATGTCATCTTGTGTACTGTCCCTAAATACAAGCGTTCTCGCATATTGCATTCGAGTGTTTTTAGTTTTTTATTTGTAGAAGTTTTGTAGGAAATAAGATGGTACTTATTTATTGAAAGGATGTACAGTTATCCTAGAATGAGAATTATTTAATGAAAGGATCTACAGTTATCCTTGAATGAGAATTATTTAATGAAAGGATCTACAGTTATCCTAGAATGAGAATTATTTAATGAAAGGATCTACAGTTATCCTAGTTAAGATGAATTATTATTGAAGGTTTTTTCATGGTTATTCTAGTAAAGAGTTTTTATTATTGAAGAAAATCAGTTATCCTAGAAATAATCATTTCTTTTATAGACTTTTCAGTTTCTTCTTAGTGAAGATTATCATTCAAGGATTTACAGTTATCACAAGAGAAATTTTGAATAACTTTTAGTTTTTGTTGTTGTCTTTAGGAAGAATTTTTGAAAGATTTATAGTTAACCAGAGATTATTTTCAGAATGGCTCTGTATAAATTATTTCATGTTTATATTATAGCTTTACTAGTTCACTGTTTTTGAGAATTGCAAAAAAAAAAAATTGTACGAATGTGTTCTTCGGGTTACTGACAATTCTTTATAACATCTTTTTGTATTTGCAGGAACGTAAAAATCATGCAATATGGGAAGAGATTTCAAAGTTTTCAATTCATGTTTCTCTTGGGGCAGCAGCTAGTATGATACCGGACATAGTTATGGCTTCTAAATCCAAGAATACCAATCAGAAATACATCGGATACTTCAACAAATTTGATGTTTGGTGCGGTGAACATGGTTTTATCAGTTTACCAGCTAAAGTAACTACGGTTTGTCTTTTTCTGAGTGATTTAACTATCAGTGAAGTGTCTAATTCTATTCTGGAAGGTTATTTTTATGCAATAAACTGGAAGCACGAATTATCACTCTTTGATAATCCGTGTGCGCACAAATTAACCAAACTGACTTTTGACGGAAGCAGACGTATCTTGTGCCAACCAAAACGGAAGAAACAACCAGTTACAGCAGACATTTTGAATCGTATTGTAAATTTGTATAGTAATGGAGGAAAGATGAACTTTAAAGATAATAGATTATGTACAATGTGTATTCTTGGATTTTCAGGTTTTTTGAGATTTAGTGAGCTAAGTTCGTTACAAATGAAAGATATCAAAATTTATGAAAATCATATGTCTTTGTTTATTAAGAAAAGTAAAACTGATCAGTTACAAAAAGGTTCAGAAATTGTCATTGCTAAGACGGGAAATAAACTATGTCCGGTATCGTGGTTAAAAAATTATTTAGCTGCCGCAAGTTTAACCGTTTCCTCAGACGAATACATATTTACAAAGGTCAAATTTCTTAAAAGTAAAAACAAATACGTACCAGTTAACACTTTGAGTCCTTTGTCGTACAGGGAAATATTTTTGCAAGCTATAGTAGCAATTGGGGAAGACAAAAATAAATTTGGTCTACACAGTTTACGTAGTGGCGGAGCTTCAGCTTGTGCAAATAGTAATCTCAATTTAGATACCAGTTTGTTAAATAAGCATGGTAGATGGAAATCAAGTACTTCTTCAGATGGTTATATCCATTACAATTTGAATAAAAGGCTTCAAATTTCTAAACATTTAGGCAGAAAATGTAAATGATCAATTTTTAAGACTGTCTGATGACAATAAATTGTCGTTCATTTTTTCCAAAACTGAAATTGTTTTAAAATTTTTTGTGGCAAAAAACCTGTTTTCCCCAATTTTTCTTAAAAAGTAGAACTAAATGGGTTTTATTCCCCCCACAAATTTTATTTTCCCTTTTTGTTAAAATTCTAAAAATTTTTTTTCCACAAACTAGAGTCTTTCCCTTTTATTTTTGAGAAATTTTACTTAATAAAGGGGATTTATGAGCCTTTTTTTTTATGGTTTTTTAATATTTTAATTTCTTTTAAAACATTAGACAAGGTAAAATTGGGAAACTCCGAGGCTCTTGAAAAGGTAAACAAAACTCATAGTTAAAAAATTAGTAAATGATCGTTTTAAATTTTTTTTTTTAGGGAAAACATTTTAATGTACAATCCTTAAATGTGGAAAAAAATGTTTTATTTTACTCGTATAGGTTTTTATCTTTCCAATGATGCGAAATAATTTTATTTACATGATTTTTGTGTCGCCTCTACGGAGTAGTGGCGACATATAGGGATCACTTATCCGTCGTCTGTCTGTCTGTCTGTCTGTCTGTCTGTCCGTCTGTCCGTCCGTCCGTCACAAAACTTGTCCGGACTACCCCTCATAAACTACTGGTGCAATTTCATCCAAACTTTACAGGAATGATCAGTATCAAGTCTAGTTGTGCATATTGTCAGCATTTTCCGGTTCAATGATTTTTGTCAGAGTTATGGCCCTTTAATAATTTTTAATTTTAAAGTTTGTCCGGACTACTTCTCTTATACCACTAATGCAATTTCAATGAAACTTTACAGGATTGATCTGTAGCTCAAGTCCTTGCGCATATTGCAAGGGTTTTCCGGTTGAATGATTTTTGGCCGAGTTATGGCCCTTTGATAAAAAGGTGTTTTTTCTGTGTGTTGCCAGATACACAATAGCTTGTCCGGACTACTCCTCATAAACTACTGGTGCAATTTCATCCAAACTTTACAGGAATGATCAGTATTAAGTCTAGTTGTGCATATTGTAGGCATTTTCCGGTTCAATGATTTTTGTCAGAGTTATGGCCCTTTAATAATTTTTATTTTTAAAGTTTGTCCGGACTAGTTCTCTTATACCACTTATGCAATTTCAATGAAACTTTACAGGATTGATCTGTAGCTCAAGTCCTTGCGCATATTGTACGGGTTTTCCGGTTGAATGATTTTTGGCTGAGTTATGGCCCTTTGATAAAAAGGTGTTTTTTTCTGTGTGTTGCCAGATACACAAAAGCTTGTCCGGACTAATCCTCATAAGCTACTGGTGCAATTTTATCCAAACTTTACATGATTGATCAGTACTTAGTCTAGTTGTGCACTGTCCGTCTGTCTGTCCGTCTGTCACAAAATTTGTCCCAACATGAAATTGGCCATTATGAGGCGACACATGTGATTACTGATCGCTCTTGTATAGTTTAAGAATCTATTGCTATTCAGTGTAATTTTACGGGTTTAAGGAAGAGAACATTTTAAGGATTTTTACTGTAAAGCAATAATACCAGAAACACTTTAAGTATTTTAGAACAAGATTAGCAATAGTTTCTTATTTTAGCAATTTTAAATTGTAATATGCATATGAATATGGAATGAGAAGAGAGGTAACTCTGTAAGTGACAGTGGACATTTTTGCAGAGTTGCCTCCCTTCCATTAGATTAAAATTTTATAGTCTCTTGTAATTCTGATAAGAATGGCCGTACATAAATAACTTTTACTTTGTAAAATTATGTCATTGAATTGTTTTATGCTATGTATGGATGAGACTCAAATAAAGAATATATATATAATACCATATGTTGTGTCCTAATTAATGTATCGATTTATACTCAAACATGGCAGTTAGATGGATAATGAACATATAACTACAGCAAAAAAATGTGTGCTCTTATTCAAAGGTGTGAAATATCATAATACATTTCAATAGATCATTGATTTAACACATCGTGAAACTTGATTCGGCCGCCGCGTTACATAAATTATCCTAAATGAGCATTTATAAACAAGTTGTTGCATAATCGCAAAATGCAAAAGGAAGTTTTGAAAACGGCTCTATAACACGATTTACCTTTTATGAAATGAAAAACATTTACATTTAAATTTGTTTTATTACATCTGTCAGATAATCTGGTGTATTAAATAACCTTCAAACTAGTTTATGTCTAGTTTTATCTAACCTTAATCTTTGAAAACATAATTATTTGCAAGGGTAGTTCCGAAATAGCTATTTTCAATGATGAATAATTGATATCAATAAATGTGTTTCTTGTCCGTTAAAATGGAAGTAAAATTTATTCTCGGAAGTTTTATAACCAGCAATAAAAAGTGTAAATAAAGGAAAGAAACAAAATGGTTTGGAGGAAAATTATTTTTACTTCTATATTAACTATATCCGTATTACTTCATTTAACATCAGGTAAGCCGAATATTTTTTTATTTTTTTATTATTTATCACTTAAAACGATATTATCTGATTATTACATTACAATTCAATTTGTATAAGAATGTCATAACAATCGTAAGTAATAAACTTTAGCTAACCATAACCAGAGACATAGATAACAATATACTCCATTGAAATATCACTCATGCCTATCAAAAAGTGAAAAAATAGGCTTTTTGTAGCAATTCAAACTGAATGGATGTAAATTTGATCCTTTTATACTTTACAATATTTGAAAGTTAAATCTTTTATTTACTGCTGCATGTTAAAATATTTGTTACTTTCTTTGCCTTTCGCTTAAAAAAGTAATAGCAGAACAAACCCACCGAGCCTTCATATGCATAGTTTTGCAACAACGTTTATAATTAATTCTCTTCAAAATCTGATGTTTCACTTACCTAAATGGGAACTGTAAATGTTTTTACATGCAGCTGTAGACAAATGTACAAACTTTCAGAAAATATATTATTTTACTGATTTTGATATTTGGTTTAAAGGTTTTACTTGTTACAAGTTTTAATGGCCTCGACAGACGGTAGGATTTTAAAGTACAACCCCAATTAAAACTTAGATGCACAAGCAAATCTAAATTTGTGAAGGCTACTTTTTCTTGAATTCGTACAACTTAATACTGGATTTGCAGGATAGAACTTATATTCTAGTTGTACAGACCTCCCACGACGACAGGTGACAATGTTTCCCAATTACACCCTGAAAGGAAAGTGAAGACAGTATGTTTCCTGTCTGCTATCAAATGATATTATATAAATAACACATGGGAGGCGCAGCCGAGGGTAACAGTATTTTTTCGAGGGATGATATTTTTACTGATACTCACAAACCCATGTGTTATTTATTTTATTACCCGAACAAAAATACTGTGATGATCTGAAATTGTCAACTAAATCTAACTGTAACAAAAATAAACCAAGAGTAACAATAACTAAACTGTCCTTACCTTTTAATTTTTAAGTGTACATTAGGCCTACTTAAGAAGTTTTCTTTTCCTTTTATTCTTTAAGCAAGCGATAATATCTACAAATCATAAACATACAATAAGCTAGGTTTTATTTAGAAAATAAAACACTAACCCATTTACTCGGTTATGATCTGTGAAATCTGATCCTTCTTTTTCCAGAATAATCTTAGCATGGTTTTTGACAAAATAACGATGATATCCTATGTCTGTTTCACTGATTAAAATTGTAAAATAATCCTTTGTTGCAAGGTTTTTTAAAATCGTCTGCATGTTCCAGTTTGACACATAATTATTTACATTGCAATTACTTCCGTTGAAAACGGATGTTCACTTTTTGACTATTCTACAAAAAGATATTTTATACGCGAAAAGCACACCAGGTTGCAAACAACGAAATTTTATGAGTGCCATAGTAACTCCAGAGAAGAAATTGGTGTCCTATTGGTGTTTAACGTTGAAAATAAAAATGAATCGAGAAAAAAAATGGTGGCCATTTTATTTAGAAAATAGACCACGTGACCAGATTTTATACTGGTAAAAATACTGTAAGGCCGTTTCTACACCTATTCAAGTTTCTTAAATGTCACATTTAGATAAGCTAAATAAATGGCCCTTTCAACATTTTTTCAGGCACAATTTTTACTGAAATGTCTCATTAAGATAGCCCAGGATTTATACCTTTGTCTTTGCAAGACTATCATGTTTCTGTAAAATATGTGAAAAAAAGCGGGAAAATGATGCAATTAGCTAAAACAGAATGGAGTAAAATTGAAAAAATGTGACAAAAATTTATTTTGATGCAAATTCTTTATTCGATGAAATTTATTCACTAAATGAACAAGATCATTTTAAATCCATTTTGATTCTACTTGAAAAAGAGCTCTTTTTCATTTTTTACGATGTATTTATTTTTATTTATTTTATTTTGTTTGCTTTTGCTCTTCTGTGTATCAGCGTATTGATTTGTTTCTTTGACCAAGACATTGTAATCATTTACTGAAATTCAAAGGACATGTACACTGAATCAACAATAAAAAGTCAGAAAATAATAAAAATAACAGCACTATCAAACCTTCGGGCACATGTTTTGTGTCAAACCGGTGTTATCAGTGTCTTGACAGCCAAAAACTTGTAGAAAAATAGAACGTGTTCTAACTTTCTTGCAAGAAATTATCTTCATGGATGTCACATAATTTCTCGTTAAAAACCATTCAAGAAGGGTGTCTACACTATCCAATTCAAGAGAATATGATACTTGCATTCAAGACTTGGATAGGTGTAGACGGGCACTTGGATAGGTGTAGACGGGCACTAACAGTACAAAATTCTTAGTCACGTGGTACACTTGCATTAACTCCCAGAGGCCTATGGGAAATTTGCATTACAAAAAGAGTGAGAGGTAAAAACCTATTGTCATGCGAGTTACAGGGGAGTAGAAAAGCGTGACATAACCTCTACGAGAAGATTGGCATGTAACAAGTTACCTGCTCTATTGTCTGTCTACAAAAAATAATTTAACATCTTTGGCGCTTTCTCTGTCATAATCTTCCTAGCTAGTATTATAATGGTACTTCCAGAAAAGCGTTTCATTTTAACGATATTCAGAAGATTCCCAATGAACTTCACTTTGGAGTTTATCTAATGGCACCATACACAATACGAGACGCTTCAATATAGATAATATGACAATACCTTGTGCAATCCTCTGAAAGGTAAACGCAAAGAACTCCTTTAACATTTTTGACGCGCCAAACGCAACTAACGTTGTACTAGAACGTGCCTGTTCCCTATGATAGTGGCTACTTCACCCACTTGTTATCATCGGCGTGGCCCAGCATAACCGTCAAGGTATTAGAATTCACTGATCATCATGGTGTGTCCGCCATTAAAATTGCTTTATCAAGGCTCACTGATATTCTTTGATTAATGGTTTTGAGATTTGGGTGTAGACTATACAATTATAAAGAAGTGGACAAGCTACATACTAGTATGAGGTTTTTGAAATATATTTTAGGGGTCCAAAAACAAATATCTAATTATGCAGTTTTGGAAGAATTGGGCAGATTTCCTCTTTCTGTTATTGCTAAAGAAAGGTCACTAAAATTTTGGTTAAAAACTTATTGATTTACCTATTTATGGCTTTATATGGATCAATGTGTAAACATTACTGGCATTAGCTGGACTAATCGGATACATTCTATCATAAATCATCTTGGATTCGCAGATTTATTTACAATCTTGATACAACGATTAATACTTTACATCTGTTAAAATGGACATAGCGAGATCAGTTCATTCAAGAGTGGGAAACATGTTTAAATAATACATCTAAACTTTATAACTACTACATTTTGTTATGAGTTATATTTGGATAAAATATCAATTGATGAATTAAAGAAAACATTCACTTGATTAAGACTATGCTCACATAAATTAGAGATTGAGCTGGGTATAATTTTTTGAAATTCATAATTTATATGTTGGGCATAGTTCATGACCCACAATGAATATATTTAATGCCCTAACATCTTCATCAAATAACAAAAACAAAATAGTTCATTTATCAATATTTTTTAAAGCAGCTTAAAACACATAAAAATGCTCTTGATACCTGTTTATATATTGATATATTGTATTTATTATAAGCCATTGTGTTACATTTTTGTCATTATCGTATTGTTTGTTTTAGCCATACTCCGCATGTATTGTAAATGGCTAAAGGCAATTGTTTTTGCTGATTTTGCCAATAAACTTGAAACTTGCAATACATAATGTTGGGCATCTCCATTACTATTGTTTTACATTATCATTTGTTTGTCGTACAATCCACAACAATTGCTGTGTGACATATTTGGCCTATCCACCTTAATAGTCGCTCTAATTGAACATGATGATCATTTTCGGCATTCCGAACGTAATGAATCCCGAACGTAATACCCGCACTACAGAATTTAAAGTAGTTTGATCATCATTTTTTTATTGTTATAATCATATTAAATTTGAATCTGTATTCTGTGTGTTTAACATTGTTTTTATCTAATAATTGATGTACTATCTTAGACTGTATCAGCTTATTATCAACAACTTGTAGTATACATGAAATCAATATACAAACAAAAATCCTGATTATGTATGACAAACCGTAATTGTTTAAATGAGTATAGGTTAACGTTTATTAGTACGTATTTACAAAATTTATTTGGTCAGACGCGGCGCACTAATAAATTTTAACCAGCTTAGTATTTTAAATTATTTTTATAAACAGTCGATTTACTAGACTGGTTTCAGTTTGCCGATTTAGCAAAGTAAATGTGTAACGATTCATTTGAAATACTGCAATCCTATTGGACAAAAATAATTTCAAACTCTAAGAGCGGGTTAAACAATGTTTATAGGTAAACATTTCCAAATCTAAATCGACCAATTCAATGTAGTGAATGCTTACTTATTAACACTAACCAATTTAGTGTTTGAAATTATCTTTAAACAGTTGTCGATTTACTTAACTGATTGAATTTAGACGATTTACTAAAAGTAAATGTGTTATGATTCATTTGAAATACTGCAATTCTATTGGACAAAAATAATTTCAAACACTAAATTGATTTAAAGGCTTCAATGTGTTTTAATTACATTTCACAGAAACATGATTTATAAAATGCTTTAACAAAACAGCAATTGAGAATATCATAAACAGTATGTGTAGAATGAGAAATTGAGACTCATGATATCATGATTTTACAAAAGACTGCAAATTTCAATAAAATAAATCTATTGTCACTGTTCATACATATAGATTACGGTATTTAACAGCATTAGGTTTTTTTAACTGAATATTTATTCCTATAATGTCGTTAACACGCAAGTATTATAGTTTAACAGATAATACAATTCAACACCTGACAAGTTACCTTTACAAATGACACGTTTCTATGTTCTCATGCAAAATGATGCAATCTTTTTTAATAGACAAAATTCATTCATATAGACAGCTTTACGGGTAAGATCTTTAAATATTTCCCTTAAACAAATATTGTTATAAAAAGTATACACATGTACTAGAATTCCTGTACCAGTTATGAATACACTGATCGTTATGACAAGTGTTTAAAATTAAATTTAAATTAACTTAAACTACCAACAAATATTTACCAATCAAGTTTATTCAGGCTAGCATGACTATAAGAAATCTAACTTCAAACTCATGCGCATTTTGCATCATTACCTCTGGCTCTTGCATGTACAGTTCATTGCGAAAGGGAAGGCAACTAGTACTGGTAATTCGCTTGACAAGCATGTCCATGAACGATGCTGTGGCTGAACTCTGCTCTGTGATTTCAATGTGGCTGTCATGATCCAAGAGATAAACTACCAACATCAGCACAACCGAGTATTTTAGTATTTACAAATTAAACTTTAATGTTAAATTGATCTATTCTACTTTGCATACGAGATGAAAGTTGAATTATTCCATATCCCAATACAACATATAATTTGGGATACTATATTTCAAAATTTAGAAATATCAGTTGAAAATCAAGGATATAAGCGTACGTCAAGAAATAGATATCTAAATGTTTTGAGTGCGTTGTTGTTAATAAATGTACGGCTCAAGTTCAAATGAGCAGTATTATTATCACGAACATTGGTAGGCATGAGCGATTGATTACTAAGAATTTAAACGATATACCATGCATTATTATACTGTAACGCTAGAACAATTAATAGATTTATTCCATTTTAATGCTAAAAGAAAGAGAGTAAACTTAATTGAACGGACAAGTTATTTTTCTGACGTCACTTGGTTAAATGACACAAGAGGCTCGCATTACATAAGTTTATTTAACACATTCGATAGATTCAGTATTGAATCAACACTTATTTAATATTCTCAACATTCTCGTTTAATATCCTCTATTTCTTAAAACTTTACATAATCTTTGCACAGGAGAAATGTTAAATGAAAGGGAGAAAATGTGTTTTGTGTCCACGGAAAAAATAAAAAGCATATTAATCGCATCGTAAACAAAAATCTTTGTGGGACTGTGCCCTTAAAAATCAAATTTAGGGGAACAAACTTGAAAACAAGAACGTTGACACCAAGATTATTTCGCTATAAATGTTTCTTTTATAGTGTTTCATCCAAAAATCATGCAAAGCTTTAATAATTTTAAATCTGCTATTTACGCCTTTTAGTGTATTCCGATTATTCTATCAGGTCTTGTGTCCTTTATACACTGAAATAGAGGATAAAAATATAAATACAGCATAAAAAATTGTGCTCTTATTCAACGTTGTGAAATATTATGTGAAACTTGACTCTGCCACCGCGTTACTAAATTACCCTAAATGAGCAGTCATAAACAAGTTTTTTGCAATATCAACAGCGCTTGAATATAAATGAAATGAAAAAGGAAGTTTTGAAAAGTTAAATCCCTGAACGGTTTTTTTAACACGATATACCTTTTATGACATGAAAAATATTTATATTTGTTTTATTATGTCGATCATGTAATCTGAGGTATTAGATAACTTTCAAACTTGTATATGTCTAGTTTTACCTAACCTTAACCTTTCAAAACACTGTTATTTACAAGGGTATTTCCGAAATAGTTATTTTCAATGATGAATAATAAATGTGTTTCGTGTTCCGTTGAAAAGGAAGTAAAATCTATTCCCGGGAGGTTTATAACCAGTAATAAAAGGTGTGCATAAAGGGAAAAAAGAAAATGGTTTGGAGGAAAATATTTTTTACTGCTATATTAACTTTATCCGTAATACTTCATTTAACCTCAGGTAAGCCGAATATTCATTTTTCATTTGTTTTATTCATCACTATAAAACGATATTCTGATTATTACATTACAATTCAATTTGTATAAAAATGTCATAACAATCGTAAGTAATAAACTTCAGCTAACCTGAACCGTTAACCTAAATCAGAGACATAGATAACAAGATATTCCATTAAAATATCACTCATGCCTTTCAAAAAGTGAAAAAATATAGGCTTTTTGTAGCAATTAAAACTGAATGGATGTATATTTGATCCTTTTATACTTTACAGCATTTGAAAGTTACATCTGCATGTTAAAATATTTGTTACTTTCCTTGCCTTTCACTTAAAAAAGTCATAGCAGAACAAACCCACCGATCCTTCATATGCATAGTTTTGCAACAAACGTTAATAATTAGTTCTCTTCAAAACCTGATGTATCATTTATCTAAATGGGAACTGTAAATGTTTTTACCTGCAGCCGTAGACAAATTTACAAATTTTCAGAAAATATATTATTTTACTGATAAAAAGTTTTACTTGTTACAAGACGGTAGGATTTTGAAGTACAACCCCAATTAAAACTTAGATGTACAAGCAAATCTTAATGTGTGAAGTCAACTAATACTGGATTTACAGGATAGAACATGTATTCTAGTTGCACAGACCTCCCACGATGACAGGTGACATGTTTCCAAATCACCCCCTGATAATGTGTTTAATAAATGAAATTCCAGAACCATTAGGGCTAAAATGTAAACATAGTAGTAAGATGGAAAAAACACTCTGGGGGAGCCCCCAAGTTGTTGCATTTTCGAATCCCAAATTACTCAAAAAATGATTATAGACTATTTTTTAAATGGAGGAGTTTTCAAATTTCCATCATTATTCATGGAGAAAGATGATTTTTTTACCGTGAGACCAAAATACATGACAGGTATTAGGATGTACATTTATGTTCTGCATTCCAGAACATTGCACCGGCCTACCTCTTAATCAATCTTCTTAATTGGCCAACGCCAACAATTATATAACATTAACACATATTTTAGTAATAATAGTAAATAAGTTCTGAAAGGGATCTATTGGGATGTAATTGTTTTAGAGGGAAACCTGGTGATTCATACAATATAGATTTAATTTACTGTCTGAATGCAACTGTTGTATTTCTTTAAAAAGTGTACATGATATCGTTAATTAGTGTTATACAGCTAAAACCTACCGTCTGTTCAGGCCTTGTTTAGCAAAGCACGGGTGATAAATGGTTAGGGAGTTGCCAATCTCTATGTTATCTACATCTCTGCCCAAACCTGTTTTTTTTTTTAAAGAATTTCATTTGAAATCACTGCCTACAAAATTGAACAGATCGTAAATGTGCTAAATGCGATACGTACTGTTGTCTTTTATGCGGATGGAATGGGTGCAGGAGAGATATTCAGCGGAGTAGGGAATCGTGCTGTTGGAAATTCTGAAATTATAGTTAAATGGTGTAAAGATTTACATAATTTATTTAATCATTTGCAGATATTACTCAGACATGTGTGACAATACGTCACAGGTCATGCAAGTAATATACATGAATTTATGATTGTTTGTATCGATTCACTTTACTGATAGCAGATAATGGCCTACTTCATTGCGTTATCTTTCAAATATTAAAAAATGAAACTAGTTTAAAAAAAGTTGTAGACGCGAATTTAAGAACACTGTCAGATATAAATTCATCCCCTTTTAATTCACATTTAGAATATTGCAGCCCTTCCTGTCAATCTACACAGAATGGAGAGGATGTTTTGGTAGTAAAAGTTGGTTAAACCATGTAAATGTTCACCGAAAAATTAGAAACCGAAAGTACAAGTGTTATCTGTTGACGATGATAAATTATTACCATTTTCCTGATAAATGTCAATAGTAAGAAAATTTGACAACAATGATAAATATATAGCCAAGTTTGCTTTAAAAAAAGAAGAAGCACGCGAGAGTCTTTCTGCAGCCGTGGAAGATTTGTGAAACTGTAATTACGACTTATCGGCGAGGTCGGTACATGTATATATAAATTAATTTAATTAAGGAGGAATTTTACTTGATTATCTTGGAATAAATTTAGTAATTAAATCATATCATTAAATTACTATTTGTTTACATGTTTATTTTGTTAGCGAAGGTTAGACCGAAATACCGTACCCGTTCTGCGTATTCTTACTGTATTGTGTTCGAGGTTCTTCGAAAAGGGTAGAGAAGATGTCTGAGACGTACTCTATACTATATGGGATTAACCTTAAGATATTTAAACCCAAAGATTTGAGTATTTCCAACGCAATTGTAATTTTCTGCTTACCATATTTTTACCATATTTTCGGTCCAATTTAATAATTTCCTATTCTTTAATTTGAGATTTGAACAAAGTTATCGTGGAAAATTATAAGTATTGCAATTGCATATCCATCTTACACCATTGAATAACGTTAACAATCTGCTTTCAATTTATTTATCAATATTCCAGCACAACTATCTACGAATGAAACATTACATCACATGACAGCATGTGATTTAAACATCAAGTTAAACTGTGGACAGGACTCAAAGATTGCTATAAACTCGTTACAGTACGCCTATAATGTTAGCTGTGATGCAACATGTTGTACATACGACAAGTCGCACTGCTTTGTTAAAGCCGAGAAAAACGACATTCAAGATGTAACTCGTGATTGTTCTGGAAAGTCATCCTGCAATGTGAATAAAACTACAGGAAGAACAGACTTCTCAACTTGTTCCATAGGCGTTCAGGATATTTCATATGTTTATTTAGAGTATTACTGTATACCAAGTAAGTTCATTAATAAAAATATAGTAAAGATTCTAATGTAGGACTAAATATTTAAATAAAAAACAAACATTTTAATCTGTTTTTCATTTCTACCAGTATATCAATTCAAGTAAATATAAATTAATAATGACATGCTTTCAATGATCTATTTTGGAAAAAAATCATTTCAAAAGTATATTCAATAAACATGTCATAAATACTAATTTGGTTGTTCTTTTTGGTTGTTCTTTATCATCCAGGTGCACGAATAATGTCAGTATGTTCTAATGGACAACTGGAGGCGTCAGACGGCAAGCCCCTGTACCTAACCAGCCAGAATTATCCTGCTGTAACAACTGGAAGCACGTCCTGTTCATGTTCCTTTGAAGTATTCTCCTGTACATCAAACATAAATATGTATACAATTGATGCTGACTTATATTTAGATACGAGTAATTGTGAGCAGAATCTGAATTTTCTCGACACGGACAATAATACCTTATCAACGATTGATTGTGATGAACTTTACAATAACAACATAGAAAGTAAATTGTTAAATAGTCACTACGTAAAGATTGATTTCATCAACAACAGTACATCAAACCAACAAGGCTTATTTTTCGTCGGACTTGATGGTAAGCTTAGTCTTCCTTTACCAGTAAATAGTTTCAATATTGTTATTAATACAAGCTGAGTAAATCTAACTGGAAGGGGCACAATGTTTAATAATTTACTATACACATGTATACCGATATTAATTTATAGGGAACTATGTAAAATTCATGATATATATCGAGCCTGTTAAATGTTATCATATATAACACAACATTAACAAGTTCAAGAGTACGAGTCAAAGTCGAATCTATAATAAAGAGATCAAGGTTGTGAACTAAACAAATGTAAATAACTAAATAACCAATAATTATTGTTCGGAAAGATGTAAGGCGGTATATGTGCTGCGTTCAACACCAAACATTATACAACTATTCTGAAAACGAACAATAAATACAGATACAAATGTACCTGTATTATAAACAGTTCGAACAAATTAAGTTTCCTGTATTATATGCATAAGATGTTGTTAAATTTGACACTTTAAGGTAATACTAGAAAAAGTTCAATCATTTTCAGGTATTCTATTTCAATATGCACAAAAAAAAAACGTTTATCGGTTCTGCAGTAAAATAAAATAAAATACTCTCACTTTCTTCATAGTTTCTTTACTTTTTGAATGACAGTATTGTGCGACGATTGATGGCCGCGATGGTTTTCAACAAACTATGGCTGTAAATAAACATCAAAGTGCTGCAGCACTGAATGCGACGGACGTGCAACCGGAGAGACATTAAGGTTTTTTTTTTAGAAAAAAACAAAACAAAAACAAAACACAAAATATATAACAGAGAAAATTTGTTCCATACAAGATCGAGAGTTGTAGAGCAATATATTTTGTGTCCCAAACTGATATAATTCAGATTTTCTACTTTCAAGCACTTAAATACAGAATGAAATTTATACCTAAAAACTCACGTCAAACTAGTAAATCAGTGTCCTTATCGATTTATTCCAAGAAATGATATGTAAATAGAAAAAAATACTGTCAACGAAATATTTCTAAAATAAAACCATGCAAATAAACTTCAAGCATAATACATTATACATTTGAGAATGCTATTTAGAATTGCTTTGTGTTATATATCATAGTGGGCATATAGACAATAAAATATAAGTCATTTGTATTTTTATTTCTCTTGGATATGTCTCATTAAAAAATCTTTTGGTTAGAATCATAAGCAATTAATAGTGTATTTTAGATTTTTTTTTATTTACAAGGTAAAGATGTAGAGGCCAGAGCACATCGTTTTTATTTTAATTTAAATGTCACTTAAGCACTACAGTGTTTAGTTGTCCTTTTCAATTTCACACTATATTCTATTTTCAACTTGTTTGCTTCTTACAATTGTATAGAATTTCTAAAAGTACTGCATGTAATCCGCTGGTTTATTACTTGTATAATGTGTACTTCCTAATCGCCTGTCCAAAAATCAGCACAGGTGAAGCAGAATCTATTTTTAGAATAGCGAAGGTTAACTCATATCGTGACCTAGAAAAATATGTAAACAAACCACAAGAATCGGAATTAGAACTGATATTATAACTTCCTTACCATGATAGACTACATGGTGGTAAAGTGTTGAAAAACTCTCTTCTTACATGCATTTTCAAAAATAGATATTTATACTAACCATTGTACTGTATCTTATTTATTAATAACTGCTGAATAATCAGCTAAACCCGCGGTATGAGTCACGAAAATAGTTCTTCTTTTATTAATGCGCGAGTTATCCTAGAGTCACGAAAAACTTTTGATTTGTTAATATAAATGTTTTGTATAATGTAGAAATATTTATTTCCTACTAATAATGTCTTGGAACTCAGAGCTTACACCTTTATTGTAGTATAATTTGCTGTCCTACTTTTTCGACAGCGGTAAATCGTTTCGGCAGTAATTTGCATATTGCGCAATAATACTACGGGACTACAACGTTTTTATCAATAATATACGTTCATATTTTAACTTGGATAACTTAATTTGAAATTGAAAAGGCTAAATATGGAATATTTTAAGATATTCCGACAAAGTAAGGGAGTTTTGAAGGATCACATTCGTGTACTATTTTCGGGCTGTTAATCGGTTTAGGACACTTTTCGCGATTGTAGCCGACGAAATCCCATGTGTAGATGACTTAGCTCTGAACGCGCCTGAGGGCGCGTCCGTCGCAAAAAGCCTAGATTCCCTGGCCAATACGGCTAGCTGTATTAAACAAAATAGCAAGGCCAATATGAGCATAACTAATTATCGGTATTCTTATCTATCTATCATAGTATAAAGCGACTTGACGAGTAAAACATTACTTGCCATAATGTCTAAGCGTAAATAGTGTTTGACAAAATTTAATGGTAAAATGTACTTAATTTTCTGTACGTTTTCTAATTTTGACATCTGCTCACTCAACTGCCGGCATATAATATGATAATATCTGCTAATCGTGAAATTCGCTCATATCTAACACCCGACCGCAGATCGGCAAACCTGTGAGGAATACTAAATGATCAAGGAGTACTACACGAATGCTAAATGCAAGATTTCAAAATGGCCCAAAACACTTCCCATTTCGAATAAGACCAAGCTTGTCTGTCGATTTTCGTGTTGACCGTGCATTTCATACTGTGCATTTTTTCACGTACAGTATATTTGCCGTTTCTGTTAAAATGAAATTTTTGCCTTGATATACAATCAATATTTCAAGTTTGAAGTAAATATTTGTGATGGTTTTGGGGAAAAAATATAAAAAGGGAGATAATTCAGCAAAAATGCCTTTCAAGATTATCTTTCCTTTAGAAATACATTTTACTTTTATATGAAATAAATATTTTATGTTTAAAATGAATATGTTTGAACTTTTTTGAGCAATTAGCCGTAACCAAAAGGTTAATCAAGGCGAAAACATAATCGAAAACTTAACCAAAAAGCTAAACCAACGCCGAAAAGATTGGAAAAAATCTCCATTTCTCAAAATCGTTTAATCGGGAGGAAATAAAGTTAGCAGTCATTTGGTCACGGAGGCCCCTCATACCTTTTGATATGAAATACAATCATATCAAACATCAAACACATATCAGTTTACATCGCCTAATTCCTTTAATTGAGCCAACATTTTAACAAGTCATAAGTGATTGCATTTGGAAATCCGTTGACCATTTTAAAACAAGACAATGTCAAAACCCTTAACCATTTTTATGGTGTTCTTATAACATATTTACATGTCTACGTCCCCGCGAGGGGTTTGACATTATCGGAAGATAGATAACAACCGCGTGTATATTGGTTATAGTAAGAATATACAGCAACCTGATTAATAACATCAGCTCCAAAATAACGATACGCTACAAGTAATATAAAATTTGAACTTTTATCATGTTGAAATTTACAGTACATTGTAATCTATTAAATTTAAATGCATTACCTGCGATATATTGTTTCTTCAATAAATATAAAAAATGTTTTCTTTACGCATCTGTTCCATATTTTATTTTGAACAATAAAGTTCTCTTAAAATAAATACTCTATAGTGCCTATGTTTTGTATTTATGGTCATTTGTATTTTACTATGACGTTCTCGACATGCGCGTTAGAATAAACAATTTCTAATCAAACTCGTGAGAGCATAAAGTGGTGACAGATATAATCAATATCGTCGTTACCCATGTATAATGTATGTCTTGTGTTTTTGTTTTTTCGAAAAATGTCAGATTAAATTTCATTGAAATCGTAACAGATTAAGATTTTCATTACAGCAAAAACAATCATATGGCAATAAAATATAATCAAAGTGCTGCAGCACTGAATGCGACGGACGTGCAACCGGAGAGACATTAAGGCTTTTTTTTAGAAAAAAAAAACAAAACAAAAACAAAACACAAAATATATAACAGAGAAAATTTGTTCCATACAAGATCGAGATTTGTAGAGCAATATATTTTGTGTCCCAAACTGATATAATTCAGATTTTCTACTTTCAAGCACTTAAATACAGAATGAAATTTATACCTAAAAACTCACGTCAAACTTGTAAATCAGTGTCTTTATCGATTTATTCCAAGAAATGATATGTAAATAGAAAAAAATACTGTCAACGAAATATTTCTAAAATAAAACCATGCAAATAAACTTCAAGCATAATACATTATACATTTGAGAATGCTATTTAGAATTGCTTTGTGTTATATATCATAGTGGGCATATAGACAATAAAATATAAGTCATTTGTATTTTTATTTCTCTTGGATATGTCTCATTAAAAAATCTTCTGGTTAAAATCATAAGCAATTAATAGTGTATTTTAGATTTTTTTATTTACAAGGTAAAGATGTAGAGGCCAGAGCACATCGTTTTTATTTTAATTTAAATGTCACTTAAGCACTACAGTGTTTAGTTCTCCTTTTCAATTTCACACTATATTCTATTTTCAACTTGTTTGCTTCTTACAATTGTATAGAATTTCTAAAAGTATTGCATGTAATCCGCTGGTTTATTACATGTATAATGTGTACTTCCTAATCGCCTGTCCAAAAATCAGCACAGGTGAAGCAGAATCTATTTTTAGAATAGCGAAGGTTAACTCATATCGTGACCTAGAAAAATATGTAAACAAACCACAAGAATCGGAAGTAGAACTGATATTATAACTTCCTTACCATGAAAGACTACATGGTGGTAAAGTGTTGAAAAACTCTCTTCTTACATGCATTTTCAAAAATAGATATTTATACTAACCATTGTACTGTATCTAATTTATTAATAACTGCTGAATATTCAGCTAAACCCGCGGTATGAGTCACGAAAATAGTTCTTCTTTTATTAATGCGCGAGTTATCCTAGAGTCACGAAAAACTTTTGATTTGTTAATAATAATGTTTTGTATAATGTAGAAATATTTATTTCCTACTAATAATGTCTTGGAACTCAGAGCTTACATCTTTATTGTAGTATAATTTGCTGTCCTACTTTTTCGACAGCGGTAAATCGTTTCGGCAGTAATTTGCATATTGCGCAATAATACTACGGGACTACAACGTTTTTATCAATAATATACGTTCATATTTTAACTTGGATAACTTAATTTGAAATTGAAAAGGCTAAATATGGAAGATTTTAAGATATCCCGACAAAGTATGGGAGTTTTGAAGGATCACATTCGTGTACTATTTTCGGGCTGTTAATCGGTTTAGGACACTTTTCGCGATTGTAGCCGACGAAATCCCATGTGTAGATGACTTAGCTCTGAACGCGCCTGAGGGCGCGTCCGTCGCAAAAATCTTGTTAAAGCTTTATGAAAATTATTATATCAAAGCACATGTGTGGCAAATGATTATTTTTAGTGACAAAGCACAATATTACCTTTCATATTTGTTGGAACATGGTGCTTGCAGTATTATATTAATGCAATTATTGTAAATCCATGTTTGTGTGGGCATTGGCAGATAATTTGAAAGATTTATTTTACTTATCAGTTTGTTTGAGTAATATATTGGACCTTATTTTAGCTTCAGGTACGGGTGAGCGCTATCAGCTGACTTGCAGTTCCCAACCGGAAACATGGTGTGCAGGTATGTTAAATTGGTACTTCGTTTAATTTTCGCCGAATAACGAAATGAACGCTACATTACTATCAACTACTTTCGATAATAAACGCTTATTCATTTTTTTTTTCAATTTAAAATTCAGGAAAGATTTCCTCTTTGCATTGGGGTCATTGTTTGACTGAAGATTTTTCGCCGTATTTAATAACCAAAATTGGCTTGTTATTTAATAATATACAATAGAAAAAAAATATTGTACTTATTCAACCAAATATGTCACTTCTATATTCTCGAAATTAAAAGATTTTTATTGCTGATTTTATAATAACTTGTAACATGTGATCACGTCTAGGATGTGGTATTCTTCTAAGTATCGACAATGGAAATATTACACTAAGCAATGAGAACGATTTTTCTTATGAAGCAACAGCCGAGGTTACTTGTGATTCCGGTTATAAAACAGATACACCAAATATAAGTTGTCAAGCTAATGGATCATGGCCGATTGCAAAGTGTACAGAAAAACGTAAGCCGATTGATAACAATTTATTTTCCCCGGTTTATTTGTCTTATTCCCTGCGGTCTTGAGACCGCAGGGTATTGGTACGCGTTTAACTTTTGAGGCATGGAGGAGCACGTGACCTGTCTTCGGTACATGGAGGAGCACGTGATCTGTAAACCGTATATGATTGGTTAATTGACCTTTTCAAAAACCCAGCTAAATACCGTTTGCCGGTACGTTACGGATTTACCTGTAGGGAATTAGTCCGAATTATACCTAATTGAGAAGAAAAAACTATTACGTGATATTTCTAATTTTCTATAATTATTTTACCGTTTGAGGTGGACAAACCTGAAAGATGTGTTTGAAAATTATCAATGTTTCTTTAATATCTATCTCAAATTTTATAAACAATAAATTGTTTATACTAAAAATCTACAAAATTAAAATATTCGTAGTGGCATCTGCCATAATAAATAGAGATATAGAGATATTTTCTGCGTTAACTTGTGTGTTTACTTTATTTATTTTTTGCTCGGAATTATTCATAAAATGGAAGGCCTATTTAATCATTTTCTTTAAAAAAAATAATTGTTTTATGTTCGACCTTCTCCGGTCTTCAACGGTCACCAGTTTCCAAAGACCTTCTTCTATACTGATCGATTATTGTCAACTATATTCCTGATACAAACGTTTATTTACCCCCCCCCCCCCCCCCAAAAAAAAAGAAGAAAATAATGTTGAAAATAATTAAATGAAATATCTTTATATCATTAAAATGTTCACCGCAGAAAACCATTTTACTTGTCTTTTCCTATATCATATTACTTAGTTATATAGTTACTAGGAAAATAAAGTATACATTAGCATTAGTATATATAACTTATTTTGTACGGGTATTTGTTTACTTTTTATCTGGAATGATGTTACATGACAAACTATTGTTCTATGTGTAATATTTAATAGCACCATGTTCAGCAAATGAGTGGAGATGCGATAATGGAGATTGTATACTCGAGAGCCAAAAATGTGACAATTTTCCCAACTGCACTGATGAATCTGACGAACAGATCTCGACTTGTCAAGGTAAATTCAAAGATGTTTATTTAAATTTATTCCATTACGAATTCCATAAACACAATTTTTAGGTAAAATCATCGCAGCAATGAAAGTATCGATGAACAAGCATGTTCAATTCGCTGATTTGTGACTTCCTGTTTATTTTACATCATAATTGCATGAAATAGTTACTAATGTTTATCTAACATATAGTTTTAATCATTTAAAAAAACACGTCAAGAAACTAACATATATTAAATTATAAAGATTCTGCATAGTTATGCAATTTTCTATATTGTTAGAAATATTGTTATTTTACTTCAATCTTTTATCGAAACCATTAATTACTGTAACAACGAAACCTCTTGTACAGTGAAACTTTAAATAACGTTTGACATTAAGTTATTTTTTAAGATCGAACTTGTCCGGAAGGTCTTGAGGCCTGTTACCATTCTAATGGAAGCCATGTGTGTGTCGACAAAGGAACTGAGTGTGGTAAGTATATCATTTATCATCGGGATTATATGTTATTTTTGTTTACGAATAACATTTTCTTGATTTATTGGCGTCAACAATGAATTGTTGCCTAAGTTGAAAGTCCCAATTATTCTCAAAAACATCATATTGTCATTAAAAGAATTGGTAAATGTTTTGTTATTTATACAAATTCCTTTCTGAAGAACGTAAAGTAATATTTTGGATGGATATCAAAATGTAACCAGGCAAGAGTGTCCGGGGTCTGTCTGTAATTTATTAATTTCTCCTGGATCATAATTTATGGTGTATGTTCAAGGCCAAAAATTTTGACATGGATTTTGACTAAATAATTACCTTTTTTCACTTTCTTGAACATTTTTGGTTTGAGATTTGCATACAAAATCAATATTCGAATATACTAAAGATACCTACTTTTATCTTAATACTAGCTTTGTGGTCATTTTACATAACCCATATCTCTTACATGGGTTTTGACTAAATAATTTCTGTTTTGAAACCTAACTTAGTCCTTTGGTCAGTATCCAAGTCATGAATTTTTAATGGTATCTTCCTTTTTGTTAAATCCAATTTAATTCAGGCTCTTGTAAATATCATCCGCACAGAATAGTCGGGAGCAGTAAGAGTAAATGATAAACTTATTTAGTTATTATCAAACTTACTCCAGTTATAATTTTACTTACTTCAGTTATTATTAAAAATACTTCAGTTATTATCTAACCTTCTAATTAGTACATATATTATTAATTATTTAACTTATTTCTATTATTATTAAATTTATTCCAAATGTTTATAAGTTTAATCAACGACAAGTAATGAATTAACGCTTAAATATTCACCTGTGGGATTTTAAATGTGCTTTACTTGCAAAATGGTTAGATAACCCAGTAACATTTCTTTGGCGCTTTTTAACAAAATTTGTTCCGATGTGCTGTTAAAAATAATGTGTTTTAGGCTGTGGTACTGTACCATCAATTGAAAATGGGATTGTTTCACTTGATGGAAATTCATCATTTGGGTCTGTAGCTGATGTGACGTGCAATGAAGGATATGCTCCGAGTAGTGCGAACATTACTTGCTTAATGACTGGTTCATGGGAGAATGTCTCTTGTACAGTTAAAGGTAATTACGAAATATAAACAAGAAAATTGCGAATGATATAGATATATAAATTAAAATATATAAATCTTTATTTGAGCCGCGTCATGACAAAACCACACTAGCCGTATGCTGCACCAAGACATGAATGAATTCACGACCTCATGTCTCTGCTATTCGCACTAGTCATTTCTCAGGATATCCATATGGCTAGCTTTCTGTTTACCAGTATAATAGACAAAGTAAGAAAACCACTGAAGCGAACACAGCATTGAGATAACCTCGCTCAGACTGCGCGGAGGGCACTTGTTGGATTTGTTCATGCGCCGCTCATTAACACTCAGAAACAAAACAATGACCTAGTATATTTTAGACAAATTTAATCTTATTCATTCATAAACATACAAAAATTATTCGCATATTTTTAGAAAAACACTTTACAAAGAGCTGTGTCTGATCCGTTAAACAAAAATGCTTCATCTGTGTTTCGTATATGCTTTCCTTTAGATGAATAATGTCCAGCTGATACAGGATAATTAATGTTTTATTATTTGTTTTATCATTAAAACACCTACTCTGTCTCAAGCTTTTACAAAGCTTAATTTAGTTCATTCAAATTTGAAAATAACTTTTATTTCATTTCTTAATATTGAATTATTGTAGAATAGTTAAAAAAAAACAACATGATTTTGAGGTCTGAGCTTCAGACAGTAACTGTTTCAAAATTTTCTTTCTGATTCAGACCAAAATAAGCAAAGTTTGTATCCCAAAAGTACTTTAGTTTATAAGAAATCTCTATTATATATATCATCTGCTATGTGCCGCTAAAGAATCTTAGCTTTTTTTTCTAAAGTTTTAACTCCGTTTTGGTTCATTAACTGATTCTGGTCTAGTTATGTTAAAACTATACACAATATACACTGAATATGCTTACACATCTCTTAACATTGATACAATATATAATAAGAAAGTTGAATGAATTAATCTAGATTGTGGACCACTACCAGAACTCAGTTTTGGACAATACATACTTGTTAATGGAACTAGCACAGTGTTTGGATCTGTAGCGAATGTGATATGTGACCCTGGATATACTTCTGATAAATTGGTTATTACTTGCCAATCATCCGCAAAATGGGAAACTGCTCTGTGCTCCATTAATGGTAATTCTACAGTTCATAATCATTATTATTTTCATAAGAATTTTTAAATGTAACTTATATTTATTTTACAAACTGAGAATGTAAGTAAGCTGATGCCATGAATATTATAAAAGAAATTATATCTTATAGCCTTATGAGATGTCTGTTCTCTAGAAATGTGCGATAAATTTGTCTTAATGTTCCTGTTAAATTATATCATGTAGTATGCTTACGCTATTTGTTTACGGCGGACACGGCAAACATTGGAGGAAAACTGGATGAACATATGAAACAATGCGGGGGAGCGCAATAGGCGAACGTGACAGACGCAGCCAGAAGTAAACTTTAATTAACCACGACAGTCACTATGTAGATTTAAAGCGTGATAGACCGTAGTAAAACATGTTAAACGGTATGCCACGGTGTAGTACTTAATATCCGTTTTAAAACTTGTAAGTGGTCTGTAATGGGACGGTCAGTTTTATCATGCTGTGATCCATTCTTTGACGATTGTTCGCGGCAAGATAGTTTTTCGATAGCAGTATGTAAAGTTGCTTCTGCTAAGTTTTCCCTTTATTCACTGCGGCAATGGATATTTTGCGTTTTGCTTTGTGAGATTTTGACCTATTTTTCTTTTAATATATATTTTGTTAAGTTGTTCAAAGTTTCCTAGCGGTTTACACAATACCGGTATCCTCGATAAGCTGATAAACAGTGGATCTAAGGCCACAATTTACCAGATATGTATGATGTTTCCAGGTCCAATGCGAATGTTAAAAAACTCATAGGGCGTCTTACTTCTGGGATTTTTGAATCCAAAATTGCCCCCCCCCCCGCCAAAAAATGGATTAAAACTAAGGTTAAAAAAGGTTTTTCGCTGGGACATTTCTCATGCATACGGATAAAAGTCCGTACTGTGCGCGCGGTCATCACACGTGTATATTACGGACAAGCCATACAGAAATGTTCGTGTTTTAGAACTCATGGCGGTGGTGTATATTGGTAGTTAAAACTCCAGATGACGGTAGTCAGCCACTTTGAATTTTCCTAGAGCACAGTTTCAGAACTCGGCGACGAAACATTGATTGTGATGCTGTGATAATTCGGACTTTTATTTCAGGTTGTGGCTCTGTACCGTCAATTGAAAATGGGATTGTTTCACTTGATGAAACTTCAATTATTGGGTCTGTAGCTAATGTGACGTGCAATATAGGATATTACCCGAGTAGTCCGACCATCACTTGTCTAATGACTGGTTCATGGGAGACTGTTTCTTGTGTAGCTAAAGGTAATTCTGTGAAATAGAAAAAGAGATGAATGATTTAATAAAACAAAATGATCTATCTTTTTAAATGAAATTTAACATTTTGACTTTTCTTATGCACATTCATAAAAATCCTTACTATAAGCGCAGGCAACACGGGTGTATATTACGGACGCCCAGACAGAATCATTCGTGTTTTAGAACTCATGGCGGTGGCGCATGTAAAGCTGGTAGTTAAAACTCCAGATCACGGTAGTCAGCCACATTGCATTTTCCCAGAGCACAGTTCAGCCAAAGTAATTCTACGAAATAAAATATAAATGAATGATTTAATAAAACAAATTGATGTATCTTGATGAAATTAATACTAGTCTATTCAAATAAATTGTCGTTTGTACACTACATCCAAAATCTTTATTAATTATCAATACCTTTTTGATCAATTCAAATTTAGTTGTGAAAATTGTAACACAGCCATAGCATATGGAACATAAGTTAAGTTTTTAAACTTTATTATTTCTAAGTGATAAATAATTATTTAGGGACAATGTCTTGACTCAATTTCAGACATTAACAAGTGATTATGACGACAAGTAATTCTTAATGCTGCCCTTATATTTTTCTTCCTGATAGGTACAACACCAGCACTTCATCCAACGAAGAAGAAAAACTCTGAAGTTGATATAACCATCATTATAGTCGTACTAGTTCTGTGCTTAATAATTCTACTCCAGCTTCTAGTTATGTGTTACCTACAATGTAAAATACATACTATAAGAAGTCGTGCAAGTAATTACGTTGTCAATATTATAAGAATAATAGTATACACATTTGATCACCAGCCTGTATCATGAACGTTAGAGATTTTGATGTACCATTTTTCCCAATATTTTAGTCACAACAGTTGCGGTTTTGATTTTTTAAACACTGTTACAATTTTAAATGTAACACTTGTTGTAACCAAATTTATTAATTAAGTATATGTGGTAAAACAACGTTTAGAATTTCGTGTAGAGATGATGCGTTAGATACGATAATTGAAACAGTTTTTAGCTATATTGTTAGTTTAGCAACATTTGGCGAAGAGTTTATCGTTTGTATCAGACTTATAAGAACCTGTTATTATAGAGTTGCTGTTGAAGAGTGAGGTCAGTAAGCGGATATTGATCACTATATTAGGAAGTATTCCAGTGGTCGGACTTATACCAATCTATATAACATGGAAGTTATACATGTATAATAACAGAGATGATTATAAAGGTAAGATAAGGTTGATTCGTGTAATCCTGAAAAGAGACATTGTTTTTGAGTTCTGTGTATATTCATACAAAATACAACAATTTGAATTTGACAAAGGCGTCTCACTTAAAATCTTCAATTTGTGCAATTATGAAAATAAAATAACAATAGAAGACTATTTCTATTTCATGTAAATGTTTTTCCTTTTTTTAATCTTTTCATTCTTGTTATGTACATTAAATTTGTCAATTAAGATAGTTTACTGCAATTATTTTTAAACAAGGTAGACATGACTGTTTTCTAGGAGAGATATATCGAATATTAAGTTCAAATATTGATATTACAGTGTTTTAAAAATAATTCACATTTTTCTCATCATATGTTATTTTTGTGTTTACCATAATGGTACTTTTCACCTTGTAAATTACTGAATGTTATTTCCTGCAAATAATTTCAGTCAAACACAAGAATCAAACGGAAGAAGGAAGTCAGAAGGACAGTAAAGGTGCTTCTAATTCTACGTATGATAACAATAACATGCTTATAAATAACAACACAGATCATGGCGCAGATACTGAAGTTAGTGGAATCGAGCTAGAATACAAAACACCAGAAACAAACATACATGTAGAACATGGTGGACTGAAGAAAGAACAAAATAATATGGACGCTGGAAAAAATGAGTCTGAACCTACACAAACTATTAACTCCGAAACAACCACAATGCATGATGGGTAATCTTATTGCATCTTATGTGTGTTGTTTCTTTTGGATGATTTATTGTAATTTAACAGTGTTGTTTTTCTTTATCAGAAATTCAAAGTGAACAAAATATAAACACTCTAAACGAATTTAGAATAAATTACATAACATATCTATTCGTTATATCATTGCCTGCACATTTAATATATTAGCCAAGGACAATTTCTTTCGACCGCCATGAAAAACTTTAAATATAACCGATATTCAACCATATATTATATTCTTTTATTTCCTCCCATAGTTGAAGAATTCACGATTTCAGCTTCATAAATTCTAGATTTCATCTTCAAGAAGTTGAAAACGTGAATTCTCGAAGTTGAAATCATGAGGTTCAAAACGTGAATTTATGGAGTTGAATTCATTATGTTGAAATTGTGAATTCGTGAAATTGAAACCGTAAATTCAAGAAGCTGAAATCTTGAAGACATGAAGTTGAAGTTGAAATCGTGAATCCTGTATGTGGAAATTGTGAATTCATGAAGTTGAAATTGTGTATTTGAGAAACTGAAATTGTGAATTGATGAAGTTGAAATCGTGAGTTCATGAAGTTGAAATTGTTAATTCGTGAATTCAAGAAGATGAAATGTCAACGACAGTAGATGTCTACAATGAAATAT